CATACGAAGACACTACGACACTGCTGTTGCGATGTAGGTACGAGCCTCTTCTCGCACAACAATGCTTTTATGGCACTTGTGGAGTTCCCTGGGTAGTTAAGTTGTTCACTTGCATGGTGAACAACTTTTACCATTGAAAAGCGTGAGTATGCTAGGGGCCTTCGACAGAGGGGTGGGAACAAAACCGTAAACAGACAGATGGAGTCGTTTCTTTTGGAGGGTGGGTGTGAGAGGGAGGACCGGCGTCGATGCTTGCAACTCTGATCCATGCACGTGTAGGTACGTCCGTACGACCTACGACGAGTCAGCGAGTATAAGTGAGGTAGCTTAGGTGTGAACAAGAAGCTCCAACATGCTGATGAAGAGCCGCGCCGTTCTCTATGTTGAGGTGTCACATCATAATAATGTAAAAGAGGAGAGCGACGCACGGTACCCACGTTTCTGTGTTCTTTGGGCACAGTACGATTACAATCAATACTGTACTTCGTTGGGTTTCCTCTGTAGTTCGTATCAGACAATTATAGTCAACACGACTAGATTACCAAAAAATAATTCGCGATCGTACCTTCGCCGGCACGACCCTGCCCATCCTCGTTCACTCGCGCTGTCAATGTTGTCAGACGGAACGGCAACCTCGAAGCCACCAGCCTCGGCGGCGGAGGCGCAGCGAGTTCCACAGCACCTCATTGCGGCGCTACGTGCTGCAATCAACGCCGGCGCCTCCCCCGCGCCGACGAAGATGTACGACTGCGGCGACAAGTCGTACACGGCTGCCGCCATCATGGAGGCGATGAAGGAGGAAGATAGGCAGAATGGGGCTGACAACAGCAGCAGCATCGGACAACGGAGGAAGAGCAAGCACTGCGTACCTCGCTTCTGTGAGCTACTGATGCACCAGCAGTTCAGGAAGAGGTTCTGCGAGAGTAGGACGCAGCTGAGCAGGAGGGAGCTCGACGCCAAGCAGACGGGGACGAATCGGGATATTCATCTCGAGCTGTGGGAGGCGTTCAAGGATGAGAGTTTCGAGGTGAGGTGTTTACCTCCATTTTGTTCTGGCCCTTTTGTTTTTTCCTCGGGACTGCTGCTGCGGTGGTGTTGATCGTGCGGGCCACAGTGCTTTGTGGTGGCGCCGAATTGCGGGTTGGGGACTGTTCTTTTTTGGAATCGCTAGTTGTAGTGTTTTTGTTTGGCTTTTCCGGCATGTACCCCCGCCTCTTTTGGTCAGTCGTTTGTCTGCTTCCCTTGTACCGGAGGGTCGATTCCCGTCTGTGGCGCCTTCCGGTATATGCCGGGGAGGGGTTGAGATTGATAATGTTGCCAAACCACCTAAGCTCTGAAAATTCAGTTGTGGGTTGCTGTTGGTGTGTAGATGCGATATTCGGTCTCAGATTTTTAATCCGCGGTCGGGAAGGTGGGTTTTCAGCGAAACTTGGTGATTTGTCTTACTCAATGTATAGGGAAACGCAAATCAGGGGAAACGAACTTTCTGTCCCCCCCCGGGGACAAAACGGGGATTTGCCCATATCATGCCCATTTTGTGCGCTGCTCAGACCGCTGTTCCGGTAGAACAAACCCTACAGTTTTTGCACACTTTACTGGCCACTTCCCACCAAGGTACACGAAATTTGTGTCCCCCCCGGGGACAAAACGGGGTACCAAGAGTAAAGGGTAGCGCATAATACTTGCAAACGTTGCGTTCGACACCATACCAAAAAAAGCAAGAAGAACAACAAACGTCGACGAGTTCCATTCTTGTGGTTGGCAGCCAACACATCCATCCATCCCTGGCCCACCTCCGGGAACCTCTTCTTCGCGATACGTACGCGACCTCTTGAGCGTACGTATTGCGCTTCCTCCCGCTCCCCCTCCTCCACCTCCCCCTCCTCCCCCCCCCTCCTCGTCCTCCTCCTCTCCCTCATCTCCCTTCTCCCCACCCCACCCCACCTCCCCCATGCTCTGGTCAAGCGTAGGCGCCACTGGGGACTCGTCCGAAGATATGACCGGAAGAATAACGCCGGTCAATTGAGTCCCAAGCGTGCGTCTCCCAACCATCTCTTTTCCCGACTTCTCCATCACCTCGCCAACCAAGTCGGGGTACACCTTCGCTACCATGCAGTCATCCTAGCAGCCTATTCGGCAAGTCGAGCAGTAGCACGGTGCGCCCCGAACTCGCAACTTCCAAGATTTGGTGAACTTCTTGGGGGCAGCCCATTTCCTCGCCCTGAACTCGTCTACCGCCCACTTCCTAGTCGTCAACAACTTGTCTCCGGCCGCTCCCACCACAAAATCGTCTGTCTGCACCCCCACACTATTAGCCCACACAAGATTACAGGTATCCTGCACCTCCCCCTGTTCCTCCTCTGTTCCCGGGATTCGTCACGTCACTCCGTGTCTTGCGCTCGTTGTACACGTAGCATCCCTCACTCGCAGCGATCTTGGGGGCGATGTCGTGGTTCGTGTTGTGCATCCGCCGCCGTGCGTCGCTGAAAGTCTCGTGCCGAATGCCGAGACTGTTGGCTCGCTCGGCAAGGCTCACTCCGCCAGACTCAACGGGCTTGCACCGCTGGCCGGGGTGGCACACGTCCGTGTCAGTACACGTGTGCTCTCCCGCTCCGGCTGCTACAGCGAGCGNGGCAAGGCTCACTCCGCCAGACTCAACGGGCTTGCACCGCTGGCCGGGGAGGCACTGTTTGCGGCCTACGCCACTTATTTATCGGGTGAGACTGTTTTGGTGATGTA